TGGAGCGATATACACGATTCGCCAGGACCCAATCATAGGTTGTTGCACATTTTTGGATTGGAATTTTCTTGTCTCATGATTCTGCAACGAATAGGCTATTTGCCCCCAAAATTCGTCAACTTTTGTCGGAAACGATACAGTCTAGACGCACATCCAAATCAATACTTTCATAGAAAACCAAGATCAAACTGCCAAAACCCATAACTTTTTCGTTTTTGGACCGATCGGGGCACTTAGACGGCGTTGGAAAGGTGGCGAAGAGGAGCTTCTCTTGGACACCTCAGACCACCCCCTGGGTAACCCCTTCGTAAAATATGGTTATAGATTTGAAAATTTATCGAAATTTTCCAACCGCTTTTTTTTTGCCTAGACCACACTTTAGGCAAGGGGGATATGGTGTTTCCGACTATTTGTGCCAAGACCTTTCCAACGGTACCTAACATGCCGGGGCCCAAATAGTGCCCTGCGAAAATAGCATACTTACTGTATATATACTCGTGACGCAAAAACTGGCATTTTTGATATTTGGCTTGAAATGCACAGTCTATGGAGTGTCACTTGTCGGACTATCGTCCTCCGTGATATTTCGCAAAATCTGTATTATTTAATCATATTCACCATGTGAGATACGGTGAGATATTTGAGATTCTGCTGAATACTTTAACATATGCAGAGTGTTTCAGATATGGCGAATTTCCAGCTCCAAACTATCGGTTTTTTGCGCAATTGTATGAATTTTGAAGATAAATGTGAATTTTTCCTGATTTGTGAAGATATGTTCAGATATATGGCGTCTAGTAAGCACGCCCGAACTGTCATATTTTCAAAACTAAATATCTATGGATATTTATGGAAATTTTGAATATTGTATTGAAAAATACACAGAACTTCAAATGATAAACTTACGATTCACTATGAAAAATGTCAATAACAAAATGTATTTTTTCACTATAATTTTCATTGTCGTGCGGTCAAAATGGTTGTCATTGTGGCGCTGACAATACTTTGTCAGATATCTAGCATAATGTATTATAATTGAAATTAAAGCTAAGTACACAGTTCCTTGTGAAATGAAAAAATTTCGCCGGTGAAATCTTCACAGGTGATATTTGTATGGTATTTTTTTATTTTCCAATTGCAAGCATAATGATTTTTGATGCATGAAACAGTTAACTTCTTCCAATATCAACACGACATATGAACAAATTCGGTTTTTGAGTTCATTCTTCTATGTGTTTTGTCTGAACAAATTTTTTTCACGGTCGTGAAAAAATATTGGGTCTGGGAATTAATCGTGTCGATTTTTCAAAAGATGGCGTAACTTTGCATGGTTGTATCGGGCAAAATTTTTTTCTTTTTCACATGAGTGGTCTAGTGTCAAACTACAAAAATCATCATCTATCATTTCATCGAAGTTTGGATAAACATTTTTTTTTGCGCCTTAAATATGTCAAATTTTGTACCGAAAAAGCAACATTTCCCGCAAGCATTAATTTTTTGCTTTCATTTGAAGAAAACTGCGGCTGAAGCGCATCGAATGTTGGTGGAAGCCTATGGTGAGCATGCTCCATCGGAACGTACATGTGAACGGTGGTTTTCACGGTTCAAAAGTGGTGATTTTAGCACGGAAGACAAGGAACGTCCCGGCCAGCCAAAAAAGTTTGAAGATGCGGAATTGGAGGCATTGCTCGATGAAGATTCGAGTCAAACTCAAGATGAGCTTGCCAGAGCATTGAATGTTGACCGAAGCACTGTTGGATATCGTTTAAGGGCCCTTGGTTTCATTCGCAAGTTGTCAAATTGGGTACCACATGAATTGACGCCAGCGCAAGCTGAAAGGCGTTTAGTGACTTGCAAAATGCTGCTCGCAAGGCACAAAAAAAGAGGTTTTCTGTATCGAATTGTCACTGGTGACGAAAAATGGATTCATTACGATAACCCCAAGCGCAAAGCATCGTATGTTAAGCCCGGCCAACCAGCAACATCACAGCCAAAACAAGAAATTCACGGCGACAAGGTAATGCTGTCTATTTGGTGGGATGAGGAGGGAGTGGTGTATTATGAGCTGCTGAGAAGTGGTCAAACCATCGATGGGCCTTTCTACCGACAACAATTGATACGTTTGAAACAAGCAATCAAAGAAAAACGCACGAAATGGGAGACCAGAAAAGAGACATTGATTTTCCTACATGACAATGCTCGGCCACACATTGAGAAATCGGTCAAAAACTACTTGGAAAATAGCGGATGGGAAGTTTTGGCTCATGCCCCGTATAGCCCAGACCTGGCTCCTTCCGACTATCATTTGTTTCGATCGATGCAAAACCATATGGACGGAGAGCGGTTCTCTTCAGTTGAAGAAATCCAAAATTGGCTCGATGCATTTATAGCCTCAAAAGATGAGGAATTTTTTAAGGCAGGCATCCGTCAATTGCCCACATTGTGGCAGAAGGTCATCGCTTCCGATGGACAATATTTTGATTGAAATGTAATTTCATTTTGGTATTCAAATAAATGTTTGAAAATTTAAAAAAATCGACAAAACTAATTCCCAGACCCAATAAGAAAGATCAAAATACATTAAAGAAAGAATTCAAAATTCAAATTTGTTCATGTGTTGTGTTGATATTGGAGGGAGTTAACTGTTTCATACATCAAAAATCATTATGCTTGCAATTCGAAAATAAAAAACACCATACAGATATCACCTGTGAACATTTCACTGGAGAAATTTTTTCATTTCACGAGGAACTGTGTACTTAGCTTAATTTGGAAAAAAAATGTAAAAAATCAATAGAAATTCTATAGCATTTCTTTCATAATATTCCCCTAGGAAAAAACCCACTGCATATAGAAAATAAGTTTCAAAGATTTTCCTTGGCATAACATAAAAAAAATGTTTGAATAAATATAACCAATAAATGGAATAAATGGACCAACAATTGTGTTTTTCCCGATGTGATCAATTTTTTATTATCAACGAAATTTGAATTTAAAATTGTCGCTTTTGTTTCACTAGGTGAATGATTTATTTCTTACCGCCCATTGTGTTCGACTAATAACATATTTTTTGACAAATTTGAATCAATTTCGTGGCATTTACTCAATTTTGAATCGGTTGTACGCATTTAATTTTTAATACAAGCTTCAAAAAAAAATTATTTACTTTGAAAATTTGAAATAAATATTTGCTTTGAAAGAAGATTTGAAGTTTAAAAAATTGGTTTGAGCTTGTTGTTTCAATGAGAAAGGATCGAACTTGTTTGGGCAACTGTTGTTTTCATTTGTTTTACTGCTGCGGATGTGGTTGCATTAGCAAAAATGGTCCTGAGTTTGGTGGTTGCATGTATGGTGTAACCACAGGTGGACCATTCATCACAGGAATCACTTGAAATTGCTGCGGTGCTGCTTGGTATTGCGTTGTACCTGCTTGCTGTGGGCCCTGATGAAATTGCTGAAAATACATTTTATTATATAGATTAATTTGAGAACAGTTTTTCTTTTTTAATGCGTCAATCCAAAATACCTGTTGGTGCGGTTGACCAGGCGATGGAGTTGTTGAAGGCGGAGTAGCAGTCAAGTATTGTAACTGTTGGGGCTGATGGGGATTTTCGGGATATCTATTTAAAACCTGTTTAGCGAATTTCGTGTAGATTTTAGGTAAGTAGCATTTCTTTAATAATAATTAGACTTTCATTCATTTCACTACAATGAGAAAGTATTTTTAAAATTGGAAACATGAATTTACCATATGTGCATACGGTCCCTGAAATGTTTGTGGATGTGCTTGTGGATAGGGTGAAATATACGGTGCCATTGGTGTTGCCACATGTAATGGCGCACCAGTTACTGCAGAAGCTGCAGCTGCCACTTGAACTTGAGACACGGGCACTAAAATAATATTAAGGATTTAGAAAAGATTTATCTTTAACAAAAGAACTTCTGATATCATTAATTACATTGATTCTTTCGATCATATGCTGGTTTTCTTAAACCCATTGACGCTCCCGAATAAGCTGAAATAAAACATAAGAGCCAACGATTTTTTTAATCGAATTTCCTTTTGATTGAATTGATTTCAATTACCAATAGCTTGCTGATGTGGTGGCGTTGGATAAGACTGCTGTTGTTGAACAAAGTAAGCCATTGTCATAACTGGACCCTGTGTAACATGTTGACCAGGAATTTGGGGAGGTTGTGGCGTTGGCTGTTGTGTTGGATGCATCGGCAATTGATTTGGCTGTGCAGCAGCAGGAGCATGATTCGGGTGAACTGCTTGGGAGATAACTGTAAATTAATTTCAATATATTACATTATTGCATAGATTCTTTTGAAAAATGTTCATTAAAAAACTGTGTCCTAGTTGGGGGCTCGATTTGTTAGAAGTATACACAACGATTTTTGGTGTTTCTTCCAAACTATTTCATTGTTACTATAGATACTTATCACCCAATTTTCACAATATTTGTGTCTATATAAATCCATAGAGATGATTCCAATATTCATATTTGGAATACTTTTTGGGAATTATTTCGGAAAAATGTTTTGGTAGATTTCAATAAACTAAATTGAATTTCTTTTGACCTTATCAAGCATCAGATTTGATAAAATTGTTTTAAATACGGACGATTTCAATTATTGGCCATTAAACCTCACGTCCAAGGTTCACTACGGTATACCCCTAACTAATGATTTTGGGAGGGAAAATGTGTTCTTTGGTATTTCTTTGATGCTTGGAGAGTGTTTTGGTGAATATTCGACTGGACACAATTAGATCTCATTCAAAATTCCAAAATATTTATGCAAAATTCGGTTTGAAGAAGATTTATGAAACTTCATTAAGGAGACTTTGAGCTCACAACTCTAGAACAAAACAGTTATCACTATAAATTATTGGTTTACCATTGTTTGGTTGCGTTCCTGGCGTGAGGGGTGTATGTGGACGCGATGAATTTGGAGTTACCGGAATTCTCGGTGTAAAGGGTTTTGCAGCGGGGTTCAAAGTGTACTTTTTTGGTGCATTTTGTTGTTTTTCCGATGAAGTGGATTCGTTATTGATGCTGCCGGGAGTTTGCTGTGGTTGAAATGCGAAAAAATATTTATTATTGTTTTTTATTTTCCATTTTTTATAAATGTCGTGTTTACAGGAGTAGATGTTGCAGGTGGTGTACTGCTTGATGAGCTGCTTGCATTGGATGTTTGTTGTTGCGACGTTTGCGAAACAGGTGACTGGTACTCTTGATGTGTATCAGAAATATTAGGAGTCGATCTCTCTGTATCTCCTAGTTTCAGGCGAAAATATAAGAACATGTTGTAGTATGGTTTTTCAATTGAAAATGTATATATATGAGAGGAAGAAAAACGACGAGAATTGATAAAAATACATTTCTATTGACTAGATCGAGAGGAGAGTAAGTTCATCTGATTTTGTTGTGAAAGAGAAGAGTAGGTTTCTTTCGACTCAAAAATGGTTAAAGGCGAGTATGTTCATTTTTGGCGGGTCCTCGCGGTTTTCCACGGTTTCCGCGGAACTGATAAGAGATAACAACTTGGTGTCTTCGGAAAAGTTGTAGCACTCGAGGTCTTCTATAACATTGCTGAAGTCAGTTATCTCTTATCTCTTATCAGCTCCGCAAAAAGCGCGAAAAATGATAAGAAAAAAAATGTTCTATATAAAATTTGCTTTTTTATGTGCGCGATTTGCGCGCAACTGATAAGAGATAAGGAATAGATGTCTTCAGCAATGTTAAAGAAAACCTCAAGTACTACAACTTTGCTGAAGACACTATGTTGTTATCTCTTATCAGTTTCGCGGAAACCGTAAAAAACCGCGGAGGCTAGACGGGATGCCAACATACTTCCTTTTAACGCAGATAGAATCAACAGAAATCATACTCTCCTCTTTCAAAATATATTAGAATTTTTTCACATACTCTCCTCTCGATCTAGTCAATAGATATATAGTACTTAAATTCATATAGTCTAGAGTAGACTCCATTCAAATGGAGGCGAAAGGGAAATTGATCAAAATATTGTTTCTAATTTCAATTTTATAAAAACATAGGCTCACTATTTGGTTGTTGTTGAATAGGAGGCGATGTGGACTGTGTTGGAACATTACCCAACGGTTGCGATTGTACTAAAAGAAGTTAACGTGATGAATCAAATTTGAATTAATTATTACATTGAATGTAATTGTTGCGAGATTACCTGGTGTTTTTTGAGTATGCATTTGTTGTTGTGGCTGAGGTGGTGGTTGGGTCTGCTGTTGAACCACGCTCACGTAAGTTTGGGTTGGCTGTTCCACCTGAATTTATATTATAGTATTTAATTATACATATTTTTCTGAATATTGCCTATAATATGCCAAAAAAAATAGCTAGCTACCTTAGCATCTGTTAGTTGATTCGTGCCGCCGCTATTTGGATTTGCTCCAGTTTTTGACTTTTTGGTAAAAAGAATAATGTTACTATTAGATATATCTAACCCACAATGAAACTTCCCAATTACAAAAAGACATAGATTGAAGAAAGATCATTTTTCGAAAATAAATTTGGATTACTACATGAAAATATTACACTTCCTTTGTTGGAGAATATACACAAGAGAGTAAGTTCTTTTAAAATTATCTTTAACATGTGTGTTTTGACCGGAATCGTCACATTTTCACATAATTATGCGAGTAAACTTTGAGATGAAAATGATATCGTATTGGAAATGTGCCTGAATTTGCCAAATTTGGACTATTTAGAAAAACTTTTACGGAAGGTGATGTGCTATGTGCTTAAATTGTGGTAAAATGAGTGAATATTTCTTCATTATTATTGATATTCAATTGGGATTATTGGAATGTTTCATCGTGTTAATAAACTATGTTTACCAATTCAAGATATATTACTTGTTGCTGTTGACCAGAAATTGATCTCTTTTCCCCATCTGGATTCAAATTCGAAATAGGTGGTTCAACCGGTTGGCCAGCATATTGTTTCAATTGATTCACGTATGGTTTTGAGAATGGTTTTGATTGGTTTGCATTTTCTTCATGTGGAGGTCTCAATTCCGAACCTGCTTGGTTTTGATGCGACTGACTTTGCTCCTGAATGGACAATAATAACAATATTTTTAATATGTTGTTTCTTCATACGAATTCTTTCTTCGAACTTACGTTGCCACGCTGCCCTTTCGAAGACGTTAAAATGAAGTTCTGTTTAAATTTCCGGAATTCAGATGTTTGCTCGTCACGCTGAATTCTTTGACGTTGTGGCTGTGGAGGAGGACCGATCTGTTGTTGAATAACAACATGTGTCGGCATATTCTGTTGATTATCTTGTGCCATTAGTGGTGAATTATGATACATCCGTACCTAAAGAAAATCAAATATAATTTACATTTCTGTGGCTTTCGTAATTTCGAACAATGAAAGAGAAAATAACGATTACTTGTGATTGATGAGGAGGGGGACCTTGATGTGATGGAGGTGGCATTTGATTAATTTGTGGTGTCACTAGCAATTGACTATTGCTATTATTACCACTAATGGTTTCAGAAAACGTTGTTAAATTTCCACTCTGAACCATTTGCTGGTTAGAGTAATGCCGCATCCCTCCTCGTTGGGGCATTGGTGGGCCACCCTTGTTGCCATCCCTGTGTTGCAAAAATCAAAAACCAATTTGTTTTTTTTTATTGCGAAACATAACATTATTAAATTGATTTTGTGTTGATAAATTTATAGGTATTATTTTGAAAATTTCTTTCACATTTTTTTTCTTTTCTGATTTTATTAAATGAAATCAATATGAATTCTTTTGATGGATGCCTAAAACATACCTTATATTCTCTCGGATATCCCGATCGCGGTTTTCTCTATCTCTGGGGTCGCGACTTTCTCTGTTGTCTTTATCTAATCGATCACCTCGATCTATTCGATCTCCGCGTTCATTTCGGTCGCTTTAATAAAAACAAAGAATTATCATTTTACTTTCTTTACATTTTCTACGACTTCAACCAAAGCGAAAAACAATCGAACTTTTCGATAATTTTGCAAATTAAAAATACTCAAAATACCTATCGATATCTGATCGATGACGGCGATGATGATTGTGCTTCATTTCGTTGCCTGGTTGGTCATCTCCATTCAACTTGTGTGACATTTGAACCTATTTACAATTATGAACATTAATATTTTCTTACAATACATTGTCATTTCAATTGGACTTTTATTAAATCTAATGGGATTTTTATGCTAAATAATATCCAAAAGATTACTAATTATTAATTATAATTATCTCTTTCTGTTTTTAGGAGTAATAGTGAAAATTTATCGAACCTGTTGCAACGTTGATTGATTATGTGTCCGGTGAATAAGCGTTTGCTGAGGACCAGGTGGTTGGGGTTGTACTATGTAAAATGATAAAATATTCAGAGTAATAGAAGTTCGTAGGATCATTATGAAACAACACAATTTATTAAATACACGCGACTGTCTTCAACAAACGAAGTGATTGTGATATTTTGCCAAAAGAAATCAGAATCCTTGTTATAATATACCCGTATTTTTTTGCACCGTTGGTTGTGGTGGCAGGGAATGTGAAACCAATGAAGGATATTTGTTATTGCTGCTTTGTTGTGGGGACAAAATCGGCACTGATGAAGAACTTGAACTGCTAGTATTGTTGTTACTATTGTTCAACTGCGATGGTCGGATAAGTTTACCAGCCTGTGTATTGTGCTGTTTACGCCGACCCGGTGCGACGTATTTTCCAACTTTAATTTCATCTGGACTACTTGACTGTGGACGCTCTACAGCGGCGAACTTGGCTTCTTCATTTTCGTCACCATTTTCAATATCCGTACGTTCCTTGTAGGCAGGTTGACTTTCGATTTCCAAAGCGATTTTTTCAGCTTGTTCCTCTGCATCTCTAGATTTATACATAAAACAATTGAATTGATAAAAATATTAAGCTGAATAATCTCTTTAATATTCGATGGTTAACAAGGTCAATGAGTTGTCGCTTTTTTTTAAATTGGTACCAATTGGTAATAAATTAAAATTATTCATAAAATTATTAATTTTAAAAAAATGTGTACCTGTAATCTTTTGTGTCATCTTTCTGAATTTGTATTGTATAACCGGATAGAGATTGATCAAATGTTGATTGAACTCCATAACGTTGCTCATTGAACTGTAAGTGAAGAGAGGAACATTTTTAATATAGTTATATACTTTTATTTACTTCATCAAAGTCTTGTCTAACATTTATAATCTTCGAATGTACCACACCCATAACATTTTATTTGATTTAAAATATAAATTCTAAAGAAATACTCACAGAAAACATATCATTCACATCCCACCCATTGGCATTTCCATCCAATTCTAAGTTAATATCTACATCTCCATTGATGGAATTACTTTCGCCATCAAACTGCCACGGTTCCAGTTCTTTTTCATCAAACCGTGAACCATTGCACTTGGAAATAGCCGTATCGGTTTGAAAAGTGTCTTTTGTTGCATAATCTAAATCAGCGTCTTTGGCTTTAATGAAAACCACATCACACGGTTTAAATATCAGAACATCAAATATTGAATCAACCGCCACGTTGTAGTCATCAAGTGGTCCTGTGGTATCTTACGAAATGAAAGAATAATTTATATAGTATTCACATCTCTACAGAACCAAAAATTATGTACACATATAAAAAAAATTATTTTAAACATTTGCACGTGTTTATGCAACTATCAAAATTATTGAATCGAATCGCTTCATCAAATGGTAGAACAATCCTCTTATTACCATTATTTACTGTTGATGCATTGCAATTACAATGTAAAACATTTGATATTTTTCTTGTTTACTCATTTTTATCATTGAAGACACTGATCTTCGAATGACCTTGATTTGAGGTTTTATTACTCACGACCAAAGTATGTCATTTACCCAAAAGGCTTACCTATATTTCCAGCACTTGTTAAACTATTGGTGCTGGATGTTGTATTTGATGATGCGGGTGTTGACAACGAGGAGTTTGTTGAAGCTGGAACTTCAATTCGGTGTACGAGTTGCAGCACAATTTCGAAATGTGGTGAAACGGTATAGAAAATTCCTTCGAAAATAGCTCCGGATTTGGTTTGAATCTGAACTACATTGCCGATCTGTGATGCGACTGCATGCATAAAATGCACATTATTATATACTCCCTCTATAACAGCTGAGCGTCCACGCTGCTGCGGTCTAAAAAAATCAATAGGCAAATTTTGAAAATCTGAAATGATTACCTTAATATACTTTATTAGACTAAAGACTCTGCTAAGAATGTAGCTTTTGAAATTGAAACAAGAAACGAAGAGTCCGACCAATTATATCCAACGAATTGAGTAAAATAGTGGAAAACATAATTTCCATGTGCAAAAACGATGTTCCCTGAATAGAGAGTCTTTAAGTGTCATGATATTTTTTCCTAATTCAAATTTTGCCTCAAACCATATACATTGTTATAAGAAATGAAAAAGTTTATTAATTCAATGATGAAAGGAAAAACAATATGTTGAGTTCGCGTTTGCATTAGAAGTCAAACGTTTTGCTAATTTTTCATGAAAATCAGAAACATGACACATTTTTGGGTCAAATTTTTCTTGAGTTATGACGTATAAAATGTCTAGCAGTATTGAATGACGAATAAATAACAGCACCTTGCTTCTCTGATGTTTCTCATATAGAATAATGTTCAGATTTTTTATTATAATATAATGGAATGTATGTATTAAGTAAAACAGATAATTACCTGGATGGACCTGTTCGATTTTTCCGGTTAGTTTTATTCATCGTTATTACACCTGAACTTCGCCGAGTATACGAAAAAAAGACTTTGTAATCACTGACGACTTGTCTGGACACACTGACACAACTATTTTTGTCCACAGAAAATATAAAATTCTTTAGATGATCTAAAATATTATTATGTCTTTAAATTTCACTTTATTTTTTGGATGCGATTTTTATAATCCGCTTTAGACAATTCGCTCTGATTCACTGGTTCAGTGTTTGCTATACTTTGCGTTGTGAACCTATTATCTGTTTGTTCTTTATTATAATGTTGCAACACCAGCACCCAGCACTGTTTTTTTTTGTTCTCTCTGCTTAAACAAACAATACACAAATGAATAATTTTATACGAAGTTTTCGTAAGCTGCAAAATTTGGAATTTCTGAACACTGTTTTTAGCGCTATTACTTCCAATTTATATTAGCATGAAATTCGCGTAAAGTACAATGATATTGAATTCGGTACATTAAAATGCATTTTAGACATCAGCTTTGATTGAGCAAGAGAAAATAAAGATGAAAGTGTAACTCTCGTAAATCTCGAAAAAAAATAATGGTTTTCGGTAAAATCAGCACCACGGTGACAGAACATAGGAATTAATTTTACGCTGCTATCAATTAAAACGCCATAAGATGGCACTACAAGAGATTGTAATTGAAATTCATTCCTCTTGAATGCAGAAAAATCAAATCGTAAAGTACTTGAATTTATATTTTATGTAATTTGAATCTCAGCATTGGGAAATAGTTTTGGAAAATGATGAAAAATGAAACATTGTATTGGTTTCTTATTATAATCTTGTGAAAAAAAAAAATCGGATACAAGGGCGCTCTTATCAACGTGTATTTTCAAAAATACTTTTATAATTTACGACGACATCTGGCAAGAATTGTGATGCGGTGACAGCGAATGTCAGAATGAAAGTTGACAGGTCAAATTTTGGGATTTTGTCGCACGTTGTTTGTCACCAAGATTGAAAAAACGTAGTAAGTGAATTAATATAAAACGTATTTTCCACAGCAAAAATGAATGTTTTTCTTCAGTTCCAGATACCACAATGTCAAATGAACCAGATGTCATAAAAATTAATGCTCTCAAAATATTTAATGGGACATCATCCAGCAACCATTCAGAAACAAAGACACCGTTTTTGATTGGAGTAGCTGGTGGTACAGCATCTGGAAAATCGACTGTCTGCAAGCGGATAATTGAACAGCTTGGACAAGCTGACATGAACCATGCAGAACGTCAGGTAAGAGGGATTTTCCTTGAATTTTCATTATAAATTGGTAGTGATATAATTGGGGTTGACGATTGTCCCATTGCAAATACATTTAACATAATCACGCAATTGTTCTGCAAATTAGGTTGTTTGCATAAGTCAAGACAGCTTTTATCGTCAATTGGATTCTGGGGAAAAAGCCAAAGCTGATAAAGGACTCTTCAATTTCGATCACCCGTCGGCGTTTGATGAAGACCATCTTCTTGAAACATTGAAGAAAATACTGGAAGGAAAGAAAGTCACTATCCCGGTTTATGACTATAGGAGTAATGCACAGTAAGTAATTTATTTTGAATCGAAATAAATGAAATGAAATACATTTATATTCAAATTGAATTTTCATCGTTTTCAGATGTCCTGATAAAGACCTGGTCATTTATCCAGCAGATGTGGTTCTTTTCGAAGGTATACTTGCCTTTTACTTCCCAGATATTCGCGAATTGTTCCATATGAAATTATTTGTGGACACAGATTCAGATACACGTTTGTCACGAAGAGGTATGCATTTATTGTGATTTTTTCGCAACGGAATTGTTGGTTCTAACAAAAACATGGTTTAAATATTACAGTTGTTCGAGATATTACAGAGCGTGGAAGAGACCTCGAACAGATCCTGACACAATATATGACCTGTGTAAAACCAGTAAGTTTTTGCTCAAACCATGTTTTGGTGTCCTTTATAAGAAGAACAATTCTCTTCCTTTCATTTCAGGCATTCGAAGAATTCTGTTCGCCAGTAAGTTCTAACGACATACTTTTGTGTGCTTTATAAGAAGAACAATTCTCTTCCTTTCATTTCAGACAAAAAAATTTGCAGACGTAATTATTCCTCGAGGAGCTGACAATACAGGTACATTCTTACGTTCCTTTTTATAAAAACTTTCAAAACTGTTTCGCAGAAATGAATTAATTCCCTGGCTCTTATATGTTAACTGAAATGAAATTTCCTATCCAAGTTTTTATTTTTATTTCACATGTCATCTCTGTTCCTCCTCTTCTTCTTTTGTAATTTCGTTTCCTGATAAAATGACCTTTTCATTTTCTGTGAAACATCATAAACCTCAACGAAATATTATCATGTTATTCAACATTTCGAACCTTTATCTGTAGCTGTCATAGATAGTTGAAGAGATTTGGTGCATGCTTTTCTTTAATATTTCTTTTCCGTTTATTACTCATATGTGGGTGTATGTTTTTTTCTGCATGAAAATTAATGAATATAAAACGGATTCCCTTTTTTCATTAAACATAGCAATTTTATTTATTTTTTTTTGTAATTTTTTGTTTATTTTTTTCGGTTGTAATTTGGAAAACCCTGTATGCGCTTATTTAATAATATGCAGTCGCAATTGAACTCATTGTGCACCACATTCGTGACACAATTTTGCAGCCAAAAGGGTATTTGAATTGTCACATTAATGAAAGTAGTGATAACGACGATTTAAGACAAAATGGTGTCAAAAGAGCATAGGTCGATGACACAGACTCGAAGATCATCATTAACCCCACGTTGTAATCAAAATAAGTATTGTTTATAATTAGCGTGTAAGCGCCCCATCGGGTAACGATTTTTATAAGTTCACATCTTTTTAACGATTAAATCCCTTGTGCATTTGGAAGGAGGCTTTGGCTGAAATTGCCATAATGAAGTTGCTTTATAATTGATTTTCCAAAAAACATACTTCAAATTGCCAACGATTAACATATAAGAATAAATAAAGAGTGAAAAGAAAAGGCTCAACTAGTCCTTCAATAAACATATGGCGATAACACAGAGTTATTAGCTGTGCCTTTTTGTTTGAATCGAACAGTTCATTTTTACATATAACAGTTTTACCTTTTACTTAAATAAACCATTAGTTCATTAGTTCATAATTGGTATCATAGTACGTATGACCCCCGTGCTAAATAAATGTTCCATTCTTCAAGTGATTACGTTTTAATTTTATTGACTGTGACAACTAATATTCGTTACAGATTTATTTGAATCCATGAACACTATTTTTTCATCTCCCTGTATGTTTAATTATCAAGATGTCTTCTTTGTTCAATGGGAACACATGTATTCAAAAAGCTCATTTCATATCTCGACAGTTCACCTCATGAATTTTTGACGACTTGAATTTCTGGAATAGGGCCAAAATCAAATTTATACTTACTATAGTAATATATTAAGAATGCAGCGAAAACGGCTAGAAATTCGAAATTCATAGAATGAGCAACATTAAATTCAACGAGGACAAAGTAATAATGCAAATTATAATTTTTCCAGTTTTTGGTTGATAAAACAATAATCCCAACTTTGCTAACGCCAATCCAAAAATGTATTTCTCTTATTCAGCGATCATAATTGCATGGGATGTTTTATAGTTGCATGAAGATAATGTTTTATGGTTGTTCGAACATTCTGAATGATTATTACTTCCGCAATTGTTAAGGTTTTAATGTCCTCGGCATCAAATATTCAGCACATTTTTTTTGAACGTTTCTTTTGTTGGACAATCGAAATTGTTTACTCAAAATATTTGTAATTATTTCTTTCTCTACATCAGCTGAGTGGTAATATATCTTATTTCTGAATAATACCATATAAAATCTCATGTTAATAAAGTTATAACAAATAAATGACTTCTATATGAATACGTTCACTCAGTATTCGATTACCAATATTAATTTTGAATTTTTAGTTTGTATCAAGCGAATGTGTTTGTTTTCATTTATGATTTGTATTATTACTTAGAAACTTCAAATACGATGCAAATCTAAGTTGTTTACAACAAATGTAATAATGGTTTAAATCTTCAAATAGAATACATGTATATCAAATACTTTTGCCCAATTTCTGGCAAAAGTATTTACTTTAGTTTCGTAAGTTCGAGAGAGTTTTTAAGAGAGAAAAAATGAAAAGGTTTATTATAGTTAATGAAGCGACGAAAGAATTAACAGCTTCTGATAGCTTTTTCTAAACCGTGAACCATAAACGATAGAAAATGTTTTTTCTTTGGCAGTTGCAATTGAGTTGATCGTGCAGCATATTCGTGATTTCTTAAACAACCACGGTAGAAGTATCGAAAATGAAATACAGTCTAACAAAGCTCAGACTAATGAAGAAACTGAAGAAGGTGGATCGACATCAACACCGACTACACCGGTTCACGGTAAGAAGAAAATTGAGTCACATCCGCATAATATGCACCGACCACATTGAAATTATGTTCTATTGAAATAGATTTTTTTGAGTGCTTTGATTTTATTACATGGCCGATCATTACGGCAACGCGATTTATGCACTCATTCACTATAAAGAATGGCAAAGTCGCAAAATAATAATTCACCGGATAAATAGCAAAAATATTAATAATTAAAATATTCTTGATCAAATATAAGATCTTATTCTGCTCAATATCGTTATCATAACTTTTAACTTGTAGATGATACAAAAAAATCAATTGAGGATCTGAAATATGTTTTTTCCTTCTAAACGGCACTTTCACCAATTCAAAATTGTTCTATTTTATAACAATATCAATAAATAAATTTAAAAAAAAAACAAATTACTTTTTTATCGAAAACTGGTAGTTGACTTCATTGCCACCGAAAATTGAAAAAAAAAGTTTTGAAAGTTGTAAATTTGAATCCATGAGGAAAATGAAACTAGCAACAGGTAAGTTCAGACCAAATTAACAACAACAAACAAACATTAACTCACTCAACACACTTGCAATGTGGACTGGACTTAAGTATTACGATCAATACATAAAAGTGGCACGTACCTTGTACACAGAACAGAGTTGGATTAGATGTCGTTTTACATACAAACTTGAGTATGAGTCAAGCTAACATCGAGTAGTAGTTGGAGTGCAGTTTATTTTTCAGTTTTTGTTTTCTTTATTTTGTATTGTAATTAAGTTCAAGAAATTGGTGAACATTCATTAAATTGTGTTTTATATTTTCAATTTGTGAGTGAATAAATTATTATACTGACTCATCCAAATAATTTACAACAAATGTGTGGAACAACATGGACAAATTTATGCTTATGAGCCTGTCAGTGGCTCTTTTCATTGGTAAGATAATTTTACGAAAGTTTCATGTATCATATACGCCCTCAATCAACATCAACACTACACAATCGTTTCAGTATAATTGTTTTGTATTGATCGAAGTTCTGAGGACAGGCTTTGCCCATTTATAAAAAAAATGACGAAAACCAAAGGTTATTCGAAAAAAATTAATTAGGAATTTTTTTGTGGTGATCGGCAATATACATTATTAAAGAGAAGTATAGTGAACCCAATTTTATTTCGGGTACTGTACTACATGAACACAGAACATTCAAACGAATGAACGCTTACCTGCACAAAAGTTTTACCAATACATTCAAAAAGTCCAAAAGACGCAACGTATAACGAAGTGTTCTCTTGTTCTTCTTCATGCACGGTCTACGACGAACTCAGGTGGTATACCTGTATTTGAGTTTTAATACAATTAACAGACGCTCTAGTGTATGCACATACGTGTGCGAGTGTGTGAGTGTATAGGTGTATGTTGTTGATGTTCTGCGTGAGATGCTGATGTGTATTCAATATTCACACTAGTGTAATTTCTTTACGCGCACATGGATTAAATGTTTTAAAAAAATTAAGAAATAAACGAAGGGATTTCGAAGATTTCAAGAAGACAACTCATACCTAAACTCAATTTATGTCTATAATGTTACAGAATATCTACGTTTCAATTTGAGAACATTGTTTTGAATAGCCGATTTTTTTGTCGAACATAAATTAACAACAACAAACATTAAAATCTATTAAGAAAAAAATATTTTCAATTAAGTATTTTACGCCAAATTTAATTTTGGTTTTTGCAATTAAATTACCATGACAAAGACATTTTGTCAAAAAAAAACTCTGGTTATCTAAGCAGAATGAAAGTAATAAACAAATTTCATTCTTTATTGTACAAATCCAGCTTTGATTCCGACTCTGATTGAATCCGCCGGAACTAATGTTGAGCACAGGGAAGCATACTTCAATGGATCATCATACTTACGACTGTTGACACCGATGCCAATGTGGAAGCACTCAGCTTTTAGTGTTAGAAGTTGTCGAGGTGAACAAAAGATTTTTACTATTTTAGAATTAAACAGTGCCGGAATTCTACGACACTTTTGCCGAAACCGAATCAGAATCGTTATTTTGTCACAAAAAACAATGAAATCCATTCTTCTTAAATCACCATTCCAACTTGGAGTGATTAGTTCTCTTTCATATTTGCCGAATATATTCGGTTTCATATTGAGTTGACAGAATAATTTCAATTAAAATGGTAAGTTTCGAGGATTTATTCGGCAAATATGAAAAAGAACTAACCACTCCAAGTTGGAACGGTGATTTAAGAAGAATGAATTTCATTGTTTTTTGTGGCAAGATTCCGATTCTGATTCGGGTTCGGCAAAAGTGTCGTAGAATTCCGGCACAGAACACAGAAATATTTTCATAATTTCAAGATGAGGAAATGACGATATTATGTTTTTCTCTTGTTCGTTTTTTAGGAGGTGAATTGATATCCCAGAGGTTCGCCGGCCGTACATTTCTGTTGTCCATTTATTCCGACTATGTGTCGATTTCATTGGTTACACCGAATGCTCACACTGAGGCTCGAGTTGCCTCTAGTTTATTGGACAATAAGTGGCATACTATTGAATTCTTGCTTCAAATGGGATCATTGAAATTGTTGATTGATAGGAAGGAAACCGTAATTGCCAATTCGACATACAATACAATGATGTTAACCGATCCACCAAATGATGAGGCAGCTATTCTAATTATTGGTATTTCATGAATAATTTATCAAAAATGGACCAATTTTAATCATATTCTAATTATAGGAACCACATATTCGGGGTGTATGCTCCATGGACCGGGTCTAAATTTCAGTTCGAGTGTTCAAAACAGTCCCATCCAATTTGGTCCGTGTCCTCTAATGCAAGGATCATGCACTCAAAATGACGTTTTAGTACGAGCCCCCGAGATTGACCATTGTCTACATGAGCCCTGTATGGGTGGAACATGCATTTCACTCGCAGATACTTACGAGGTATATCGAAATGAAAACAAATAATTTATTTTCAACAACTAATAAGGTGTCCAACTATTCATTTCCGTTATAGTGTCATTGCTCTTCGAGGTACAAAGGCAAGAATTGTGAAATAGATACCGGTCCACCATGCCGTTCCAATCCTTGTTTCAATCATGGGGTTTGTATAGAAGATAGCCGGGGTGATTATACATGCAATTGTGAGAAAACTGGTTATTCTGGAAGTCATTGCGAGACCGAAATAAGTGTCCATCCGTTATGTGAAACCAAACCGTGCTTGAACAACGGTATCTGTAAAGTTGTAACCGGTTCTTCTAAAATTGAATGCGATTGTGCCAAAGGCTTCAGTGGTAGCAGATGCGAGGTTTGTCATTTAATGAATTTATTAAGTTTCTTTCTCTTCAAATAAAATGAAGACAAATAATTTCCACATTTCAAGTATTTTGGGAGAAAAGAATAGGTTGCTATCTGTGTCGTTCTTTTCTTACAATATGTTTTAGGTGAATTGGGATGACTGTGAATCGAACCCATGTCAAAATAACGGTGTCTGCATCGATGAAATCGCAGGATTTCATTGCAATTGTGAAAATACTGGATACACAGGGACTTTGTGTGAGGACAATGAAAATGAATGCAAGAAGAAGCCCAATATATGCTTAAATGGGGCCATTTGCTACGACACTTACGGCAGCTACGTTTGTGAGTGTCAACCCAACTTTGGTGGATTTAACTGCGAGCAGCCGATTGATCAATGTTCAGCAAAACCCTGTAATAATGGGGCAACATGCATAAATCGGAAGGATGGCATTCAGTGTGTTTGTCCCCATGGATTTGTTGGAGAATTTTGTGAAAATGAATCGGATTGTGGTAGAGATTGCCCAAAAGGCACTGAATGTATTGGTGGACAATGTTGTGAGCCTGAAGCGAATGGCAAACAATGCAAAGCTCTACCAACAGAAGATTGTAATTGTCTGAACGGCGGAACATGCAACGAAAATGGAAATACATCGGCGTGTATTTGTCCTGAGGGGTATGAAGGCACTTTATGTGAAAAAGATATTGACGAATGTTCACAAAACCCAAATATTTGTGTCAATGGAATTTGTGTAAACCAACCAGGAACTTTTAAGTGCTATTGCGAACCAGGTAAAATGAATCGTTAAAATTTTAACTCAATTACATTTGAAATATATTTTTCATTCACATCACCATCATTACTACGGGTAAAAAATGGAAAGCCAAAGATCAGCATAGTTTTTGTCAAGTTCTAACTATGAGTAGGGAGAAAAATGGAACTGATTTGATAGAGAAGATATATTTTCACCATCTGACACAACAAGTGAATAATTCTTACCTTTTTTTTCCTGGTACTTAAAAAAAAAATTTCGAATGGGTAAAACTTAATATTGAGATTTATTAGAGAGAAAAAAATCGTTACTTGTTTGTATAGTTATCGTTCGATGAGATATACATACATGTAACTCTAAGCGTATTTTCCTTTTGGATTAAAAAAGGAACCAATCTAGGGGCGAGACACAAATTCTAGTAGAGTCTAGTTACATTCAATTTTATATATTTTTTGCTTTATGTCCTCTAATTTTTCTACTTTTGGTGCAAAAGTGCTAATATTGTGTTATTATTTCTAATAAAATCGCTTGCAGAGCGTATTACACTGTCAATACAACGCTTATGGAAGACCTAACGGGATTATTTTGTAAACAATGAATAATGCGTCCATAATTGTTAACATTGGCAAACCAAACTCACTAATTTCTTCTATTTTTCCTATTATCGTTGAATAGTGTTCTAATTTTACTCATTTAAGTTTCGTGTCTCCCCCCTAGGAACCAATAGATTCAAAGAACGAATTTAAGCAACTAAAAAATTTACGAAAGTTCATTCGAAAATGAGAAATTTATCCATCACACGTAATATCTAAAGAACATGAACAAGAATTCATTTCACACATATTCGTGGCTTACATCGTTCTGAAAAGCAATTAGGTTCGATACAGTACACATCTAGTTAGTGTAGGACTTGATTTCCTCAAGTTTTTCAAAGTAGTTCTTTTCGTCTTGAATGTAAGACACTATCGATAGTGAACAATCACAAAAGTAAAACATTTCAGCAACAAATCATTCGACAAATTTAATATGAAATTTTCTTTATAGGCTACACTGGTTTCCTGTGTACAAGTGATGTAGATGAATGCTTAAGCCAGCCATGCAAGAACAATGCAACATGTATTAACAAGGTAATTTTTATCAAATGTATGGTTCATTTTTTGTCGTAGACATATGTTAACAATTTTTTTTATCTGACAGGTGAATGATTTTAAATGTCTATGTGGTGAAGGCTATGAGGGTAAAGATTGCGGACACGACATAGATGATTGCGCAAGTAATCCATGCTTTACTGGTAAGTTTGTCATTTTTATGAGCTGAAAAATGTGTCATTTTTATGAGTATATATTTTTATGAGCATATATTTTTTAGGTTCTACGTGTGTTGATGGCGTCGCTGAATACAAATGTATCTGTCCAAATGGAATGACAGGCCAAAACTGTGAAATTGATATAGGTAATTTAAACATGACCAATTGAATTGAAATCATACGTATTTCAATTATTAATTTTTCACAAAAACTACATCATATGAAGGAGAATAAGCAGGTTACTTCTTATATCGCTACAGTGACATGCCACTATGTAGTTTGTAGAGAACCAGGAATATCAACATAAATTGTAGCTTTTTTTAAATTCATTTTATATGACGATCAAAAGCCAGTCTCCTATATGCAATAAAGTAAATCTCTATTTACAGACGATTGTGAGTCACAACCTTGTCTTTTTGGTGGTAGGTGTCAGGACCTGTTGGGCGGCTTCCTGTGTAACTGTTCAGGTTGGTATCTACTTTCATATTTATACAGTATTTTACTTCTCCAGAGATAATTAATGCGTGCGTGTTTTGAACGTATAGGCACAGGCTTTACAGGAGAACATTGTGAGAACAATATTGATGAATGTCTATCCTCCCCTTGTGAAAATGGTGGACAATGTGTGGACAAAATTAATGATTATCAGGTAATTATTCTTTTATACCCCGCTGAATCTACGAAATTTCATTATTTTTCTTTAAATTTTCAGTGTAATTGCTTTCCGGGATATACTTCTAAAAATTGCGAAATTGATATTGATGAATGTGCGAGTGGACCTTGTCTAAATAACGGAAAATGTTTGCAGAGATCAAATATTACGCTCTATACTATGTCAAACACACATACAGACGTAGAAATGCCATCAATATTTTATAACGAGTTTTCGTATGAAAATGCAAGTGGATATGAGTGTGGTATGTAATTTTCTGATAATATAGCGATTTGAAAATCATAAAATTATCATTAATTGATTGTTCGAAAATATTTCTCTTCCAGTCTGTATACCGGGTATTAAAGGTGATAAATGTGAAATTGATATTGATGAATGTGCTAGTGCACCATGTCTACACGGAAGCTGTCAAGACGAGGTACGTACAACACTTTGAAGCTAATTTGATAAGCTTTTACATCTTTCGTACACTAACACTATTTATTTCATTCATTTTGTAAAAAAATAACATTTTCGCACCTAAACATGTCAGCGCAGACCACTTTTTGTGGAATCTATCACCGAAGAAATGTTTTATTTTTATTACGTAGATCAAGTAAATGTAAGGTATAAAAATACGTCAGATATGAATTGTTTCAGGAAAAATTCCATTAATGTTTTAAATGATCCACAATATTTACCCACTATAAGAATAATGGAATCTCAGATAGACATATACTAGTATCAATTGAATTTCGTTATTCTACAAATTTGAATTAAATTCAATACATATATTCCAATGATCAGAAGCCACTCATTGCATTGAATAATGAAAATTTCTGATTTAGGCTAGAATAAAAAAGTCATTAATTATTTAGGGAAAGTTTTCACATGGGAAAGTTCTATTAATTATCTCTGGGATTCTATTTTTATACTGTTACACTTGCATATAATGTTGCTTCATTCACAATCTGATACCAATATGTACGTTGTATAGGTCAACAATTTCACATGCCAATGTGACACTGGATATGAAGGACCATTATGCGAAATTGAAATCGATGAATGCGCAACGTATAAACCATGCATCCACGGAAAGTGTTTCGATCGTATAGGTAATTACAAACTTTGATTATAATACTTATAGAATACCACTACGTTCTTATCGCAGACCTGCTCATGGGCTCTATAAATACCAATGAAATTTACTAAATTCATATATCGACCATTCCATACGAAATCAAGGAAAATCTGTATTTGATGT